CACGCCCCCTTCCAGAACCCTCCCGGGGAACCCTCAAACCCCCCTCTAAGGGCCCCCCGTCAACCCGTCCGGTCATGTGTCCTCTCGGGTCACCCAGGCTGCCATGACCTCACCCAACCTTCTCCTCAGGCCGGCACACACACACACCGTACTCCTCTACGCCTGGTACTGCACTACAGTATGGTGACATCCGGTGATGTCACTACAAATGCATAAGCAGAAGCATGCTTTGGCACACGCTCACAGTTATCATTATGCTCAGCGTAGATTGTTACAAAGTGTGATTTTATTTGAAGCTTTCGTGACTGCAGGAATCCATACTCTTTGGTTCTTTCGGTAAAGTCATGTAGGTATAAAATAAAATAAATCACGGCGTTTCGGGCGCAACACAAGCGTCCGTCATCAGGTGAGAAAGCATGGTCTGCTGCTGAGGCAGACTGTTTTAAAAAGTTTGAAATGGGTGACTTTACCGAAAGAACCAAAGAGTGTGGATTCCTGCAGTCACGAAAGCTTCAAATCAAGATTGAACCGTCTCTATGGGGAGGGTTTCCACACATCTGTTAGAGCTTTTAATAGACTGCGAGACAAGAAGGCTCACCTGATTGAGTCGCTAACCTTTCTCAAGAGATTCCGCAATAACAATACCGGTCGCATTTACACACATCTGCTGCTGTCACATCTCCTAACGCTAAACAGATCTTGTTCAAAGCTAGCCTACCGCTAATCTCAGAGACAATAAGATTGCTCTGATTTGAACTTGATAATTTAGAGAAGACTTTCTTACAATCACACTTAAAACTAACAGATAAGATGTCCACTTCTGATTGGGACCATGTAGATAACATGACAGTTTCTTCTGCTACTTCAATGTCAACCAAATGTAAAGTTAACTTAATCGCTAAATTCAACCTCCTGTCAAAAAAGAAGCCAGAGCCAAACGTTAAAAAGTTAGATGTTAACAAGATTGTCATAAATCAAAGTAACATCCCAATTTCCGACAGCCTAATAGCAGTACGAGCCAAAAGGGGTGAATTTCACAGTCACCCCTAAACACATCCCAGTGGATGACATAATTGCCCAGGTCGACGTAGCCTTCAATGGCTTGGGACACATCCCGGCAGACGTTGCTAGATCTGAAATCGCTATCCTCAAAAACGCTAAGAAACCCATTAGAAACATCAGCAAAACGAGTGTTATGAACTTTCGAAATGAAAAAACGGAGATGACATTGTCATCCTCTCAGCCGACAAGGGCAATGCCACTGTCATCATGGATAAAACCACTTACAACAAAATTCAGGACCTTAATTATGGCAGTTATATCAAAATCAACAGAGATCCCACCAACCGCCGAGCTAAAAATCGATTAGTCCAAGCAGAGCTCCCTAAAACCTTCAGCTGCTGACCACCCCGATTATATAGCTTTCCAAAAATCCACAAAGTAGGTACCCCACTCCATCCCATCACCTCCACCATTAACTCACTCAGCTACAAACTGGCCCAATTACTTTCTGAGACCCTGCTTCCTTTCACGGGCAAGTCCACCTCAGCTGTACTAAACTCAGCTCACTTGGTTTCTCTAATCAAAGACATCTCACTGTCTCCAGATGATTTTCTTGTCAGTTTCGATGTAGTCTCTCTGTTCATCAATGTACCTGTATTTGACGCCATTGCAATAATTGAAGACTTGGTCCTTACCAACACATACTTCACCTGGAATGGTACATTCTACAAACTGAAGGCACCCCAATGGGTTCTCCCTTATCGCCAGTGGTAGCGAATGTTTTCATGGAGAAATTTTAAGCAGATGCCATGCAGACATCCACCCTACGTCCTTCCTTGTGGAAGAAATACGTGGACGACACATTCGTCATCTGGGCACATTGCCTGCCAGCACTGAACCAATTTCTCAACCACATCAATTCCATACACCCGTCTATCAAATTCACCATGGAAGTGGAAAAGTATGGCAAGCTACCATTCCTGGATGTTTTGATCGAGAAGAGACTTGATGGCTCGATGGGACATTCGGTCTACAGGAAAGCCACCCACACGGATGCCTATCTGAAGCCTGACTCCCACCACCAACCATCCAGCCCAGAAGAAGTTCCTCATCAAAACACGACACCATAGCGCCCTTTGCATCTCCGACCAGCACCACGTAGCCAGTGAGTTGGAGCACGTACATGAAGCCCTCAGGATGAACGGATACTCAGATCGTACAATCCTCAAAGCTGTCTCCCTAGCCATGCGGAGACAACCTTCTGAGGATCCAACCAAAACCATCCCTTTTCCGTACATAGCAGGGGTTACATGCTAATTTCTCACATTAACATCACTAGCCCCGGACACACTTCTTTATGACCCTTGGGCTTCACTCATTTCAAACCTTTAAAAAGTCTGCCTCAGCAACAGACCATGCTTTCACACCTGATGACAGATGCATGTGTTGCGCCCGAAACGTCGCGATTTATTTTGACTTTACTGATAGAACGAAAGAGTTTGTGATTTTATTAGTTTACATTGGACCAAGGGCAAAAACAAATAGCGAGTTTTCGTCAGGGGGCTTAGTTTGTTGTAGGTGTACTTTGTTGAAATGTAAACCCAACAGTTTGTCAGTTAAAAGTTAAGATAGGCGTACGCAGACAGACAGGCAGACAAAAAAATCACGTTTATTAGGTATGAAAAGGCAACATAATTAGCGTTGTGGAGAAAATATCTCCTTTATGTAACATTTCAGTGTTTCCCTTGTGTGTACTATATTCGTGATTTCGAAGACAAATATTGATTTGGGGAATATGGATCCTAAGCTACAAAAAATATATTTGACCCTGTATCACATGAACAACAGCAGTCACGTAAATGTCCTGCACAGGTTACAGTCAAAACAAACATTCGTCTAGTTAGGACATTCCATTTTTGACCATTTAATACCAAATGGTACTGACAGCAAAATCTCTGCTATCATGTACTTTACCATCCGGAATGCTCTATTAACCGGCATCTGTCAAGCGGCAATGTAAATATTACTTCACGTATCGAGAAAAATTCTGGCATCTTGCAGCGTGCTTCATGACGTTGCCGAGTGGTGGCACAAATGGAGTCGCAATTGCAATCTGCAATCGGCCATTGTGATTGTGTTGTGGGCTGCCTAACCTAATTGATTCACTGTACTTGTACATACAGTACTGCACTACTGTACACTGTAATCTAAACAGCACCACTGCTTCTCTACAGTAAACTTAAAATGCTGTACAAATGACTGGTAAGTACCTCTGTAAAATAGTAAATTATTTTGAATATCAGTTAAAATGTATGCCTTCGTAAAAAAATGTTTTTACATTTGAAAATTTTGCTGAACCATGAAATGAAATAACGTAATCAACCTGACCTTGCGTTGTGTTTTGACCGACCGTCTGTGTTGCGTTATATGGTTTCCAAATCTTGCTAAAACCTGTTTGATTTAGTGTGCTCCCACGTTTCTCTCTCTCTGTATCCCCTGTTGTATCTGTGTCTGTGTATATATATCTGCGGTTATGTGTCTCCTCTCTCTCGTAAATTGAGCTCTTCTGTACCTGATGATGATTGCTTGTGTTGCAATCGAAACGTCATACACTATTGTTATTTTATTATTTCTACGTGACTTTACGGAAAAAAGCAAAGATTAATTCCTGCAGTCACGAAAGCTCCAAATTCAAGTTTCATAAAGTATACCTCTCAGACAACCTGCACATTTGATGAACTGGCACCCTTGATTCCCCATGGATGCTGGATAAGAGCTTTTGCTGTGTATGCTCAGAATCAGATCATGTGTTAAAATTATAACTCCAAATTATCAAGAGACACATCGCGAACATTCAATAATTGCATTGAAATATACTGCATCACATTACAGCGCATTTACTGTACTGTTGTATATGCCAGGTATGAAAATTTGATTAAAATACAATTTAAATGAAATTTGGAAAATATGTAATTATCCGAAATCATGTTAATTTATGTAATTATGCACATACATTATGCTACTTAGAGAGATAATCGTATTAATTTATGCTGTGTACGGTTATACTAATGTATGCAGTTATGACAATTAGGCTAAACCTCGTTGTCGAGGGTAGTATTATCAATCGGGATAAGACAATGAATCGTATGAAGTTATGCAGGTGTGCTGTAAGTACGCCAGATTAAACTTTGCTTCGTTGTCTAGGTTCATATTATCAATCGGTATAATACAATTCTCACTTTAACATTTACTGATTATGTATTAGTGTGTTATGTCAGATCTCCAAATTCAAATCTCACCACAGGATATAGTTCTTATAATTAAGATTATGCATGAACTCAGGAAAGAAACACGTATGTGTTAAGCAATAATAAATTTCTAAACAAAACCTTAACACTCTAATATGCGAATTATCATGCTTGAAAATGTCAAAGTACTCCAGGAGATGTTCCCCTCATTGATCCATACATTTAACCCTCAATGGTCATTTGTTAACTGGGTAACAGTAAATTTCGATTTAAAGCTTTGGTGACTGCAAGGATCATCTTCTTTGGTTCTTTCGGTAAAGTCACGTAGAATGAGAATAAATTAATAAATTAATAAAATAACACAATAAAATTCTCACGACGTTTCGGCCACAACACAAGTGGCCTTCATCAGGTGAAGAGACGAGACTGTCTGGAGGACAGCGCTGGAACGAAGACAGCCAAGCTCAGACCGCGACCTTTAAGCTGTGTGAAAAGAAACAGAGCGGTCTGAGCTTGGCTGTGTTTGCTCCAGCGCTGTCCTCCAGACAGTCTCGTCCCTTCACCTGATGAAGGCCACTTGTGTTGTGGCCGAAACGTCGTGAGAATTTTATTGTTATTTTATTTTATTAATTTATTATTTTATTCTCATTCTACGTGACTTTACCGAAAGAACCAAAGAAGATGGGTAACAGTACAATCGATTATTCCTCAGAGTACGCGAGCATACACGGCGAGAGGAAAAGTCATTACAAATTCATGCAACCATATTCATAGGAAGGGCAATAAAGAAATATGTCCCGAAAGCAAGAGTAGTTATCAATTAATTCGTTTGTAAGATTATGCAATTAAAAAGAAAAAAACGAACGACAAAAATACTTCTAAATGACCGTATCCACGTAAATCAATAGGCAGCAATGTTCTTCACGATCAGTTGATATTTAATGAACCACCTTGGAATGGCAACCCTTCTTGAAACACAAAGATACTTTTGGAACAACCTTATTTGTCCCGATATGCGTGTTGTGTGTCTTCTTTGCCACTTGTTCAATTCTTTGCGTAAAGCAGACGCCGGGCGATGCGTCGTGAGGGTGTGGGGGTCATACAGACGGCTTCGTTGCTTTTTCTTGCTCGGGGTGTCGGCTTAGCTGCCCGTCCGCTGGCAGATACAGGCTCTTTCCACTGCTGGAGTAGCTGCGACGGCACGTTGCGTGTCCTTGAAGATGCTCGATCGCGCTCGCTGCTGGTCCGCTGACAGCAGCAGACTCCTTCCACTGCTAGAGGAGCTGCGTTGCACGCGCTCCCTCCTGCCCCGTGCTCTTTATCAATGCCCAATTGCGCGTGCAGTTCGTTCGCTGGTGGCGGACACCCTTGCTCGGTGGAGCTGCTGGTGGGAGCTGGCACTCAGGATAGAATGACTTGAGCGATACTTCTTCCGTCAGCTCTAAACTCGTGTTCGGTGACACATCGCTACTCGGCAAGTCTCCCTATCCCTGGTTGATTGCAGAGTCTCAACCCGGAGCTTGCCGCTCGCTGCCCTCTTCTGTCGCTCGCCGAGCTGAATTGTCGAGCTCAGCACATAACATCACGTCGCCCCTTTTCTCTGAGAGACACAGCACCCATTGCTAATGTCTCGAGGCCATTGCCCGAAGCTGGCTTGCTGTCCCTTGCCGAGCTGCTGTGTCTTTTTGTCGAGCGGATGGTCGCTGTCTACTTCCGCTGGTATCTGGGATGTCGCTGAATTGTCGAGCTGAATTGTGTCATGTTGCTGTTTATATCCGAAAAATCTCCCCTATGCGCGTCTCTTGCGAGAGGAAAAAAAGAGATGCTTACTCTGTCTGCTCTCTCACAAAGGACCGGAATTCCATTGATCTCGCTGTGTTGTGGGGGGGGGTTGGACGTGTCCATGTTTTTTTAATTTGACTTCATGACTGACCCTTTCTGGTGGAGGAAGGGGAGGGTGTCATTATCTTTGCGAGGGTGACGACAGCTGCTCAAAATCATTAATATCAATTTTGGAAAAAGCATAAATACAACAGTACCCTGACCTTTGAATGGATGCCTACACATGCATGCATTCTTAGAATGCGAGAAGCCAAGTGATAGCACGGTTTATACTTGTTAAAAGAGGTTCAAAGTTCACATCTGTCCGGTAACCCTCATAATTACTGCAGCAATATTGACCAAAAATCTGCTTAACAGTGGATGTTCAACATTCATGGTGTCAGGGTCAAAATTTGCCAGATTAAAAAGATTAGCCACAAACGACCCGACTGGGGTTACACATCAATCATCGCTCCACCAAACTGGCAGGCGCATGTCCACGTGCAGGTCGGTAGTGAGTCACCTTCTACCACAAAGGGACAGCTGCCACTTGGGCTAGCCGTCGAACGATTGAGATGAAATATGATACAAGCCGCTTGTAGTTGCTGAAGCATTTCACCTTTGATTAGCAAAATTGGCAACGTACAGTGAGAAATAAATAACACATTAATGCAAGCGCCAATTATTAATGATTATTATAAACACGTTGAATGCTGTGGAGCTTTTTTGTCTCCCGCTCCTGCTTACAGATCTACCCAACCTCCAAGTCCACACATGCTGGCCGCTCCTACTCTGCATCCTCCAAAAAGTCCACCTCCAGAAAGTGCTGGGTTTCATTTCACTCTCTCTCAGTCCGCAGCCTCCTCCAGCTTCAGGCTGCCTCTATTGACCACTTGGAGGTTAAACCCTTGCAATTAGAAAGGCACACATCTGGCTGTTGCCTGATGAAGCTAGTTGTAATGACTGGCGAAACGTCACTCAGATTGTAAATGTTGTGGCTTGCCTCTCCAACACACCAGTGTGCTGTACTAGTGATGAATTGGCATGTTCTGTTAACGTTACAACCCTTACTAGTTGGCTGTTTCGGGTGGGGGCGGGTTTTAACTACACATTTACATATTTACGCGATCTAACCCAAAAAACCTCTATTATGGGAAAGGCCTGTGAATGGATTGGAACTTCGTTATCCTAAGCTCAATGATGCACATCTAATTGGTCTCCATTGGACTCGGTATTGCCTAAAAAATCCACCCACACCTCCACATCCACAAATTGCTGGGAGTTGCCTCGCTCTGCCTCAGAGTCCACAGTCTCCTCCAGTTTAACGCTGCCTCGATCAACGTGAAGGTCGGATTTTGGAGTTGAATCTTCATCCTCACATTTCACTATCACTTCTTCAGACTTTACTGTCATTTCACTTTTCACCTTCACTGATTCAAATTTCATTTTCACTTCTTGACATTTCACCTTCACTCCTGGCCACGTTTCATATCTCAAATGTTTTTCTGGTTCTTGTTTCATGAGGGATGAACTCATTGCAGCACTTGGACTTTCACAAGCCGATTTCAGATTAATTTCCTGATGAATGGTTTGATGCTTGTTTCGATCCCCTAACTGTCGAAAACCGTTCTCCCCATACACAGTGCACTTTAAGGGTTTTTCTCCTACGTGTGTTCGCTGATGGTTTTTAAGATATGTTGACAGTGAAAATTCCTTCCCACACACAGTGCACTTGAAGGGTTTCTCTCCCGTGTGTGTTTGCTGATGTTTTTTAAGATATGTTGACAGTGAAAATTCCTTCCCACACACAGTGCACTTGAAGGTTTTCTCTCTCGTGTGTGTTCTCTGGTGGCACTGAAGAATTGATGAATATGCAAACGCCTTCCCACACACAGTGCACTTGAAGGGTGTCTCTCCTGTGTGTTTTCTCTGGTGTATTTTAAGATGTGATGACTTTTCAAAAGCCTCTCCACACACAGTGCACTTGAAGGGTGTTTCTACTGTGTGTATTCTCTTGTGTGTTTTAAGATGGGATGACTTTGCAAACGCCTTCCCACAAACAGTGCACTTGAAGGGTGTCTCTCCTGTGTGACTTCCGTGGTGTATTTTAAGATATGATGATTCTGCAAATGCCTTCCCACACACAGTGCACTGGAAGGGTTTCTCTCCCGTGTGTGTTCTCTGGTGGCCCTGAAGCTTTGATGACCGTGCAAATGCCTTCCCACACAAAGTACACTTGAAGGGTTTTTCTCCTGTGTGTATTCTCTGGTGTATTTTAAGATATGATGACTGTGCAAAGGCCATCCCACACACAATGCACTTGAAGGGTTTCTCTCCCGTATGTGTTCTCTGGTGGCCCTGAAGCTTTGATGACCGTGCATATGCCTTCCCACACAAAGTACACTTGAAGGGTTTTTCTCCTGTGTGTATTGTCTGGTGTGTTTTAAGATGGGATGACTTTGCAAAGGCCTTCCCACAAACAGTGCACTTGAAGGGTGTCTCTCCTGTGTGACTTCTCTGGTGTATTTTAAGATGCGATGACTGTGGAAACGCCTTCCCACACACAGTGCACTTGAAGGGTTTCTCTCCCGTGTGTGTTCTCTGGTGGCCCTGAAGAGTTGATGATTGTGCAAATGCCTTACCACACAAAGTACATTTGAAGGGTTTTTCTCCTGTGTGTATTCTCTGGTGTATTTTAAGATATGATGACTGTGCAAAGGCCGTCCCACACACAATGCACTTGAAGGGTGTTTCTCCTGTGTGTATTCTCTGGTGTCTTTTAAGAGGTGATGACTCTGCAAACGCCTTCCCACACACAGTGCACTTGAAGGGTTTCTCTCCCGTGTGTGTTCTCTGGTGGACCTGAAGATTCGATGGATGTGCAAACGCCTTCTTACACACCGTGCACTTGAATGGTTTCTCTCCCGCTGATTGTTTTCGCTCCATATGATCAATTCTGTCCAGCAAAGTGGCAGAGGAACTGGCAGCTGCAGACAGAAAACAGTAAAATCCACGCAATGTATTTCAGGAAAGAAGCATAGAAATGCATATGTATACAGTCACATGTGATATTCACATATTACATGGACAATAACACTCAAACATTAACGAGAAATACAAAAAAATCACCCTCAAATTTATCACACAGGCTGTTTTACGGCACTTGCTCCTACTGACAATCAGCTGTTGGCCTGGCATAGTAAGGCAAGTGGTCAGTATAATGCCTGGAGGCCCAAGTATATTTAATATCAATGATAACCCGTAACTCGACGTACAGAATTTCGGTTGTATCTGGCTATTGAACAAATGTTAACTATTGCAAAAGTCTGCTAAAAATAGCAAATGGTGTTAAAAATATAAATATTCGCATTGGGCAGATATATGATAAAATGAACAAATTAATATTCAATCGCAACTTGTAAGTCTGAAGCCAGGCTCAGATTTGCTTGAATGCTCGGAGGGACAGATGTAATTTCAGCTTCATGTGCTGTGTTTTCCATGCTTATGAAACGTTCCATGTGTAGGGGGGTTCTAGAAGGTGTGCGTTGTGATGATTGTAAACAGGTGACCGGAAGGCACTGTAGAGGTGGACGACATTGGGGCCAATTGTGGAAACCATCGGGGTTGACTGTTCAGGTATCAACTTGGTGGAAACCATCGGGGCCTGAAGATAGCCATAGCAATTACGAGTGTGGCAGTCGTTACACTTGGACTGTATATACGTTCGGAGAAATAAAGCTCTACTTCCCTGAAAATGGATGTCTGCAAGGAGCTTCTTTACACGTCTAATAAACAAAAAACCCTATTGCTTTGATTAAGCCTAGGTGTTTAATATTGGCAATATACTTTACAGCAAAAATAAAAACTTTACACTCTCACACATTGGAACGGCAGAGAAGGTGGTGTTGCGGCTAGAACCATGCCTGGCTAGATGCTAATACTCTTCACCAAGTACTTAACCTAGGAACAATCAACCCAGCAGAGGCCTACAATAAGTTAAGCTATAACTTGTCAATCATGTCTGCTGTCAGCGATAATACAACTCTGAATGTTGGCTCCATAATGCAGTGAACGAACAAACCTGCCTCCGTTCCCCATATAGATACACTCTTACATACAGATATGTTTCACATTGATCATTAACAGATTATATCAAGAAAACAGCCACCATTCACCACTAATTGGTACTAACATCATCACAGTGGTCATGCCATGATTGGTGTGAAATGAGGCTATGTAAGTGTGGAGCACTTGCCAGTAGGTCATGGGAATGATCCAGGTGTCAAGGGATGACTGAGATGACTGGTAGATGCACCACCTGTGCTACCCACTGTGCCAACTTGCTGCATTTTAGCCACCCAGCGCTCCACCCATTGATGTGTCACTCCTCTGGCCTCGTTGTTGCAGGACGATTGCCTCCAACTACAATGCAGCATCCTTCAAGGGCCTCCACCGCAGAGGCCGATCTGCACACTCTTGGTACCAGTAATCAGCAAGTCCGATCACCTCCACATCTCTCAATCTCTTCTCTAGCCCATGCCATACCCGATTAGTCCCTTGTATCCGAACTAACTTACGCTACTTGAGCATGCAGTTTCTGAGCATGCGGGGTTCAGGACCAACGAATGCAGCCTCGCCTGACAAATAGCCTCATTGATTATATTATGTATGGATATCTCAGGGATTTGTAAGCTTCGAAAACCATCAATCTGGCTCAAGAGGATGAATCATGGGCAGGCCAGCCTTAATTGTATAAGCCAGCACAGATGGTTCTTTAAAGGAGTCCATATTTCACATCCACAGAGAAAGGGGTCATAGTTGTGGGCAAGAAGATTCAGTGATTTACATGGAGCAATGGTCCAGGCAGCTTCCTCACCATGTTAGGCAGTCAAATTAAAGGATGCTGCTCGACTAGTTTGAATTGAGACTTTAGCTGCCAAAGCAGAGCTGGTCGTGAACACATTAACCAAGTATGGGAGCTCCTCCACCACCTATAGAACTGCCTGATTACTCACTAAGAGGCGAGCAGGCGGAATGTTGGATGACGTGAAATACCCAGGCAGGTGCTTTATTTTTGTGAAACATATGTAAGGCTCCTCCTCATGATGAAATTCTCCAGGTACAGAACAAGAGTCCCTAACTCCATCGCATTGAGTAGCCATTGCCAGATCATCAGCATACATAACATGGTTGACCAGCAGGAAACGATCCCTTAACTATAACCAGCCATAGATTAGCCTCTCATTGTAACTGTACCAAATGCATTTTTGTAGAGCCATTGTGAGGTTATCAAAACTATGTAAATATTGAAGATGCAATCTTAATGTACAGACAGTCCACGGGTCATGGAAGGGTTACATTCCCGGGAACGATCCGTAACCCGAATTTCCCATGTCGGAAACTGAACAATTTTCCCCCAAAATCAAGACAAAATCCCATAGCCGGAAATAGTTGTGCTGCCCCTACCCAAATACTTGTTCATTTTCTCTCAGCACTGTATTGCGCTATAGTCCGTTTTCTATCGCGACCTGTATCGTATCGCTGTAAATACGTTCTGCACTTCCTATGATTCTTTCATTTAATCGAATATCTACCCTAACACTACCCATAATTAAACTAATGGAAGAAAAACTTATCCAAATATCAATGAACACCATGAGACATTATAATATTAATTGTTAAAAGAAAAGTCACTTCCGAATATTCATATACCGGGCATAGACTAGGCCGCGACCTCTCCGATCGCTGTTGGCTGAGACCATAAGCAATCGAAGTGTAATTGTGTTTAATAAAGTACATAACGTAAATAACTTATTAAATACACTTCTAATCAAAACTATAAAGAGAAACATGGGAAAAACAAGATAGTTCTAAGCACAGAAAACCAAAATTACATAATGCTACAAAAAATAATTAGGCAATGCTACAAAACAATTTAATTGACCTTAATCTTTTTCAGTCATTATTGCAATGCAATTAAGGGTGATATTACACTGAAAGTTACGAGACGATGTGACAGATACAGGAAACGCACGGTAACAATGTAACAGCATGACTGAGAGTGCAGAGCGGCTATACACCACCGCCTTGGGGAAGATGCTGCCTGCCTTATGCCTCGCTCAGCGTTATTCATCCACAACCTCACCGCGCTGGACTACTTGCGCTTAAGAAACTAATGCAAAAATTTCCGCATGTTGATTTTTTGTAATGATTTATGGGAGCATTTCCGTAAGGTTGAATTTCCGTGAGTCGGGTCTTCCGCTACCCGGGGACTTACCGTAATGTTTGTGGCCAGAGGGAATTCCTGTCACACGACAACTTGAACAGGAAACGGCTCCGAATCCTTGTCACGCAGCATTTTCCGAGCCTGCCCAAAATCATAAAAATCGTTAACGAATGTGAGCAGCGGGGCAGATATATCTAAAACAATGAACAACCAAAAGCCGAAGCCTCTTCATGGTACTTAGGCCTTAATAACATCAAGAAACGTGCCAAGAAAGCCAAAACAGCGATTTTCAATACTTAACTATTGCAAAAGTCTCATAAAAATAGCAAATAGTGTTAAAAATTAAACTATTCACATTCGGAAGAAATATTATAAAATGGACAAATTAATGTTCAATTGCAACTTGTAAGTCTGAAGCCAGGCTCCGATTTGATTGAATGCTTGGATGAACAGATGTAATTTCAGCTTCACGTGCTGTGTTTTCCATGCTTATGAAACGTTCGTTCCATGTGTCGGGGACTGTACAAAAGAAGGTTCCAGAAGGCGCGTGTTGTGTTGATTGGAAACAGCTGACCGGAAGGCACTGTAAGCATTATTCAATTAAGAACACATATGTTATGGTAAAGTGTGTGGGGGGGGGGCGTGCGAGTATATAAGGGGGAGCAAGGCCCGCGGTCGGGGCGCTTACTCGGGGACTGATTCACGACCAGAGGTGGACGACGGTGGGGCCGACTTTGGAAACCATCGGGGTTGACTGTTCAGGTATCAACTAGGTGGAAACCGTGGGGGCTGAAGATAGCCATAGCGATTGCGAGGGTGGCAGTCGTTACACTTGGACTGTATATACGTTCAGAGAAATCTCTACTCCCCTGAAAATGGATGTCTCCAAGGAGCTTATTTTACACATGTAATAGAAAAACCCCATTTCTTTGATTAAACCTAGGCGTATAATATGGTCAATATACTTTACAGCAAAAAAAACTTTATACTCTCACGCACTGGAACAGAGGTGGTGGTGTTGTGGCTAGAACCATGCCTGGCTGCCTTCATCTGATCAGTACAGATGCATATACTCTTCACCAAGTACTTAACCTAGGAACAATCAACCCAGCAGAGGCCTACAATAAGTTAAGCTATCACTTGTCAATCATGTCTGCTGTCAGCAATAATACAACTCTGAATGTTGGCTCCATAATGCAGTGGACAAACAAATGTGCCTCCACTCCGCATGTCGATACACTCTTACATACAGATATGTTTCACATGGATCATTAACAGATTATATAAATAAAACAGCTACCATTCACCACTAACTGGTAGTAACATCATTACAGAGGTCATGCCATGATAGGTGCGAATTGAGGTCATGTAAGTGTGGAGCACTTGCCAGTAGGTCATGGGAATGATCCAGGTATCAAGGGATGACTGAGATGACTGGCACATGCATCACCTGTGTTACCCACTGTGCCAACTTGCTGCATTTTAGCCACCCAGCGCTCCACCCATTGATGTGTCACTCCTCTGACCTCGTTGTTGTAGGATGAATGCCTCCAGCTACCCTGCAGCATCCTTCACGGGCCTCCTCCACAGAGGTCGATCTTCTAAGCAAACGGGATTCATGACCAACGAATGCAGCCTCACCTGCCAAAGAGGCTCACTTGTGGTCAGAATGCAAACAAAAAACACTGATAATATATGCAC